GCTCTTGAGTTATCTTCTGCACCGAAAAGGGATCCTGGTTAATCTCCTCACCCCGGGCTTCTCAGTGCTTGTAACCAAACCCATGGGATGAGGAGTGCTGCCAGCTGCAGCTCCAGGACAGCACTAAAAAGGGACCACTAGATGGAGGGGGATTTCCTTTGGTGGGGCTAATACACTCCAGCAGCCAGTGTGAGGAGGCAAAGAGGACGTTAAATTGCTTTCTCAGATATGCAGGATAGTAAATCATTGCTTTTAACCTCTTGTAGCTGCTTGAGCCACAGTGTTTTAATAAGAGCTAATGGGAAAAGGTGTTTTCTCCCTCTGACAGCAGAGCAAAGAAGGATGAAGTGCACCAAGTAGTCACAGGGGTGATGCTGTCAGAATCATCTGCATCTTACTTAGGGAAATTTATGCTCCAAGGGTGTAAATCTCTTCTGGAAGTGGGACCTGGTGCTTTGAAGCTGTGCACACTTCACATGTTACTGCCCCCCCGAGAGGCAGCCACAGAGCTGTGAAGATGGAGCGGCCGCAGCCACGGGCTCTGAGTGCTTGCAGCAGAACATAGAACAGTTTGGGTTGGAAAGGACCTTAAGATCATCTAGTTCCAACCCCCCTGCCATGAGCAGGGACACCACACACTAAACTATGACATCCCTCTCCCTGGAATGAAACATCCACCCAGGGGTACTGACATGTGGTACCTTTCATGCTGTGGCTCCCCGGGGACAGCACTTGCCCCAGCTCCCCACAGCAGGGGATGCTTCTCTGCACAGCCAGACAGTGCTTTGCTCCTCATTCGGAGCAGGGGTGACACAAAATGCACATGAGGTTTTCAGTGCAGGTTTTGCATATGTTGAGAAACTGGATATTCCCATTTTTGCCTCCATTTAAAGCTATTGTGGGGTTAATTTTCACAGGGACAACTCTTAACTTTTTCCTTTGAGCCCAAATATCCCCAGTATCATTGTTCTGCAAGTAGCAGAAAGCCACAAGTGGTCAGACGAGATATATCTCCCCCATCCCTCCCTTGCCAAGCACACAGCCTGCACAGCCAGTGTGCTTGAATCCCTCTTGCAGAAGACACTTATCATCTCCAAAAATGACACTGTTGTAAGTCAGATATGTAAATGTTTATCACCTCTGTTATGTTCAATGTCTTTTTAGCTCCTGCTCATTTTTATTCACCTCTGTGCCACCCAGCAGTGAGCACCACAGCCTGGAGTGATCCACAGCAGTGGGTTACACGCTGCCTGGCAGCTATTGTAACCTACCTGGAGAGTCTGTGTGACTGTTGGTCTCTTTGGCTGTTGTTAGGAAGCAGAGCCTTGAAAGCTGCCTTTTTTTAGACCTCCCTAGTTTCTCTCTTTGGCTTCTTACGCATTTTCTTCATGCAGAACATAGCTGCTGATTTGGGGGTTTCTTTTTTCAGCCTCCCTTCATCTCCGAGGCACTTTACTATTATTTTTCCATCACTGAACCCCCTCAGAGGCTGCAGCCGGGATCCAGATGAGACTTACATAAGGTGCTACAATTTTCTCTGTGTTCTCCATCCCTCTCCTAATGCTTCCAAACAGCTTGTTCGCAGCTGCATGCCTTCTTGTCTTAACCAAGTAGTCCACAGCGATGCCTGCCTTTCCAGAAAGACTCCTTCATCTAAACTCTAGAAAGATTTGATCATTTAGGAAAATCCCCTCTGGAATACATCCCATTCAGAGCCCTGCTTTCACACTGCATGGCAGGCTTTGCCTCATTTAAATCCCTCTGGTTTGTTGTCATGAAAATCAGGCACTTCCTGTACTCAGCTTTGCTTCCACACAAATTGTGCTTCCTAAAAACAACCGATTCCCTGCTCCTTGCCTGCATTAGCTGCATCCATAGGCAGGCAGCACCTCATTTAAAGACCCTGCTTCATCCCTGCAAGTGATGGGGCTGCATCTCCGGAGCAGAGGGGCTGTGGTTGGGTACCACTGTCCCCAGGCATGGAGTGTTCCCAGCTCTCCGCAGCCCGCTGTGCTTCCTGATGATGCTCACAGCTACAAACAAGGAATATCTCATCGACAAGTGTATTTTCATGCCTATTACAGCTCCGTGCAAGGCATTCCAGGTCACCAGTGGTTGCTCTTAAGCATCTCATATGTTTAACATTTACTTAACAATGCATTTATGTAACTTTCTAGTCTCGTTCTGCTGCCTTTGCCCGAACTCCCTCTGATCTTTCTCCACTCTTCCCTGTTTTGCTTCCCACCACTTACTGGCGACATAGATGCTTTTGTATTATCAACAGCGCTGACAGCTGTCCGTGGCCATTTATGTGCTACTTGGCTTGTGTTTTCCCTGAGGTCCTAGATTAAATGCTCAGTCAAAACTCTAATATTTCATGGGCCAGTAGTCAGCTTCCACTCGGAGTCATCCCTTCTCTGCTGGTTTCCCTTTTGCCAGCATTTACCCGGGTGCCTCCTCGCCTCGCGCCGCATCTAACGATGCTCAAGCTCCGGGATGTGGTTCTCACACACACAGACACTGTTCACACAGTGCTCATGGTGCTTTGCACACGCAGGTGCTCACCCACAGAGCCATCACCTCAACTATTTGCCATTAACTCCTCTAGGCACTAGATGAGCATCGTGAGCTGGTAAAGGCAGTTTTCATGCTATGATGGCTTGGAGCAGATAAAGGAAGAGAAGTCACCTGGTCCTGCAGAGTTCACTGAGCCATGAAATCCAAAAGAGCACCGAGAAGCCCCAGCCCACACGAGCAGCTGAGCTCAGTGGCTGTGGCTGTACTGCTGGGATGGAAAGAGAGGCTATTTCCACCAAAAAACCCACAATTGTTCGAAGTTATATAAAAAGACCTGTGTTTTCAGCAAACACCAACACTTCGGTGTTCATTATACACAGAAATTATCCTGTGGTTCCCTGGCAGGACCGGAGCAGTGCTGGGGTAGATCCTGACTTCCCACAAAAGCTCTCTCTTCCCTTTACGTTTCACTCCTGGATGCTGGGGGTTGGTGTTTCTTCCCTGGCAGAGTCTCCTTGTAGCAGTGAGATTTGGAAGGTCTTTTGGTCTGGTTTATTGGCTGATGTTAGCAGCTGTTTTCTCCCTTTCGGTCAATAAATAAACCATCTTACTCCAGGGCAGCCAGCAGCTGTCATCTCCCCTTTTTGCTGCTGCACCATCAGGTGTGATGCTGATGTGACTGTTGGACTGGAAACCAAACTGACATTTCCTCCAACCTCTTCCTCGCTGGCGACTGACCAAGCAGAGGAGCAGCATCCAAGAGGTTCAAGGTCCCAGCAGGTCAAGCTGCTCATGGGGCTGGTGGCAGGGCTCAGTGTCGTGTTGCCTCGCAGGGAAGACCAAGGATGGGATTTGTAATCCTCATGTGGATTTGCAAATCCCTATGTGGGTTGCTCTTTGGATGCTGTTCAAGAGCTGCTCCCCCAGCAAAAGGTTTTGAGGCTGAAACCTCTTCTCACATGAAGAAAAGCAACACATGATCTGGAGTGAATGAGAACTGTTGTGGTGGGACCTGGAAAACAGTGGGGGAAGTGAAGGCCTTATTTAATGGAAATGTTACACGGGGATCAGAGCATCTTCTCCAGAGCCCACCATCTTGATTCTCCTCTTGCAGCAGGAGCTGGGAGAGATTCAGCTTCTTGCCGAAGGTCCCACAGACACAGTGCTCAAAATACATCAAGGACCTTCTGATTCCCACACCCAGTTTGTAGTCAAAATCCAGGTTAATGACGTTCCCACTCCCTTGGCTTGGGCTGCTTATCGCTGAGCAGGAGGGTCAACAGAGTTTGGCTATTAACTGTTGACCCTCTGTCTTCTTACCTATGACGGCTGGGGGAGAGGAGAAGCCAAGTCACTGGCGCTTATCCTTGTTATAGACACTTGATGCTAAACCTGCTCTCCAAGCACATGTTGTCAGGAATCTCCCAGAAGCTCCTCCACGTATGCAGCTCGTTCTTGCTAAGACATGGTAAAAATAGCAAACTAAGCAGGGATTGGAGCCTCAACTCACTGAGGCAAGAGTAAATAAGTCTTAAATACCTGAGACGACGTGAGGGCTTTGTGTGCTGTGCCCTGCCAGCACCCTGCCAACCATCCATTCATTTTTATGGAAGCAATGAACATCTTAATTACTTGGAAGCTGCATAAAACTGCAGCTTATGGGAGGTGACGCGTCTTGAACACTCTGTTAATGAAGTAGAAACTAAACCTGAGCTGCAGGAGGGGCTTGTGCTTCAGCACTGAAAATACCACTCACTATTATACTAAGAAATGCTGGAAATCCAGGAACTGGGAGTGTGGGTGAGGAGGGATTTAGCAAAGGGAATCATTTTTAGTCCCAAAGCTGGGTTAAAGGGTTAAAAAGCTGGGGAATGGTTCATGGTGACATAGTTTTGTCCCAGTGCTGCCTCTGTTCAGGTCGCTCTGACCCCACGAGGTCTGTGTGTCTGGAGAGGGAATTAAAACCCAAACCAACCCTTCCTGTGATTCTTTTAGCTGTTTCATGCTGTATTTCTAATCTCCGAGCTCAGATCAAGGGATGACATTGTCATTATTGTCACTGTAGAGGTAGGAGTGACTGCTCACTAGGTCATTCCACAGCGGGTGGCTGAGCTGGCAACAGACCCCAGGCCTTTTGCAACCCGGCCTTTACTCTGCCCAGGAAATGATATTCCCCCATCAGCACCGATCCCGATGCCAAAGTCCCTGGGGGCTCGTTTCCCTGCCTGGGAGTCTTCCACATGCTCAACCAAGCCCAAAAGCTGGGCTTAGAGCTGAGCTTTGACTTAAGGCAGCGTTCTCGACTTGCTGCAGGATGCATCCTGACACAAAACCCCTCTGCCTGCCTTGCACTGGGCACGTCCCATCCCTCCTGGGATCTAAGCACATCCCATCCCTCCTGGGACCTAAGCACATCCCATCCCGGCCGGGATCCGGGCACATCCCATCCCTCCCTGACCCCTCTGTCTCCTCTTGTGTTGCAGTGAGAAGCGCGCTCTGCAAGTCAGCGTCACCAACCCGGTGCAGTGCAGCCTGCACGGGCGGAAATGCACCGTCTCTGTGGAAACCAAGATCAACCAATCCCAACCGGATTTCACCAAGCATCGTTCCGGCTTCATCCTCTGCGTGCCAGGGAATTAGCATCCCCCTCCGCCTGGCGCAGCCGGGAGCAGGGGACACGGGCCGGGCCTTCAAGCGCCCTTCCCAGGCCTTGGACTTTTCAAGGGGCTCATGTAGAGATGCTCAGCTGTGACGTGAGCTCTAAAGCTGCAAACCCAAAGTCAGGAGAGGGTTTTACTACCAAATGCAACGAAGGCTTTAAGTAGCCAGTGACCTGTTATCCATCTTCTAGAACAGGGCAGAATGTCAGGAAAGTGCTTCCGAATTACTCCAAAAAAAAAGCATTTATAGGTACTTACACCCTTTCCCACATTGATTTCCTAAACCCTCTCCAATATTCCCTTCTGTGTTCCCTTTTTGTGTGTCCTGTTTTGCAATATTATGCAGCCTCCACTGGAGGAACCAAAGATAACCCGGCTCAGGGAGTCTGGTTTTGTGAGACCAAATCCCAGTGGAACCGGAGCCAGGTTTTAAAGGAGGGCTGGCTTCCCGTGCCAAGGAGATGCTCCACGCTCTTACAGCCCTGCCACACGCATGGAGTTGGGATGGTACATGGAGACGCACCCCTTGGCTTGCTGCTTTCCTGCCTGGAGTTCATTAACCTTTGGATCAAGGTCCACCAGCAGAAAGGAGAGTGGGATTCACAGTGCAGAGGTTTGATTTATTTTAATCCTGCATTGCTTTTGCCTTAATAACCCTCTCCAGGGACCTAAAATCCAGGGAATTCCCATTAGGACCAAAGTGGCCTTGCTGAATTTTGAGGTGCTCCACGTGGCCTCGTGTTAGTCCCAGCGCTGAGGTTCAGGGAGGGCTAAAAGGACCCACTGCAGGTGGGTTAGTCTGGAAACACGTGGAGCTTGGGGGGCTGAGGCCGCAGCTCCCTCCCGTTGCACTATTGAACACTAACTCTGGCACATCCGTCCGCGCCAGGCAAGGGGCAACAGCACAACCCCAGCTACAAACACCCAGGCTGGACCCTTCCAAGTGTTTCCCTGGGTGTTCCCAGCTTACGGGTTGGATGTTGGGGTGTCCGTGCATCACTTTGGCTTGTCTGGTGGCATCACATTTCCCTGCCTTATGGTGCCCACATCTGCCCAGCTCAGATAACCCTGAGCTTGGTGTTTACGTGTGTTCTGACAGCCTTTTGATTCCCACCACATCTCGGGCTGCTGCTGCTCTGGGGTTTTGGAGCAGAGGTGGCCTTGTGCCATTGAGGGGCTGTTGGGATTGGACATACAGAGTCCTGGCACTGCTGGTCAGGTCAGGATTTCCAGCCCATTGGACACAGGGGGTCTGCATTGTGACCCAGCAGGCAAACAAGGGAGCACTTGCTTAATTGAGCATTTTAGGACTTGGAAAGCCTGGAAGAGTCTTCACCCAACAACCTGTTAATGGACAGCTTCCCAAATCCATGCCATGGACATGGGGTGCAGGGACAGGTCACCTGTCCACACCACAACCTCCCAGACCCGAGGTTAAGGGGTACCTCGAGCACAGAGCAGCTCTAGCTCTGGATTTAAGTGGGACAAGCTTAAAGCCTCCCGATGCTCATTACCAGGGAGGCCCCACATTGGAGCCCTGTGGTCGACATGATCCCTGGCCTCAGACCAGGCCCCCAACAGCATCCCGGGCACCAATAAGCAGCTCTGGGATGGCTCCTGCACCGGAGGGCTCTGCACATCGGGTCTGCCCCAAGTCCTTGAGAAGAAGCTCTTCCAGATGCTGCAAACACAAGTCACCCACCACCACTGGGGCCATCGGGAGCCTGGAGGCAACTTCCAACCCACGCGGCAGCCTCAGCCCTTGCTGCGCACACGAGCACTGAGCATCACCAAGGACCCTCCACCTCCTCACGTAACTCCATCGGCTCCTCAGGAGCAGCAACACCAACGCTGAGGCCACGAGCAACCCCAGCTCCAGTTTGGCCACCACGGCTCCTGTTTGCATCCCCCTGGAGAAGCACCCGAAGGAAAACCCTCATCATTGCTGTGCCTTTCTATTTGCACTTCTCGCTTCTTACGTCTACTAGTCCCCACGTCCCCCCCAGCAACTCTAACCTGAGGCAAGGTAGTGGCAGGAGTTTTAATCAGCACTTTTAGTCGCTGTCCCTCCAATGAAGTGGTTGCATCGAATCATGATGGACAGCAAGAAATCGCAGGGTTGGGAGATTCCTAAGACCATGAGATGGCAATAATGTATGTGATGAAATGTGTCTTTATAAAATATAGT